GATGTACTTGACATATACCTCTCACGTCATATTATTTGTATCACATAATGCTTTAATAAAGTAGAATTGCAAATTGAGTTTTCTCTTATTTTTCCTATATTGTTCCATTGTGAACCAACTTAGAGCCAATGACTTTTAATTATTGTAATTAATTTTAATAATTTTAGGTTTCTTCGTGCAATGTATTTTAAATCAGTAATGTCGTACTTTTTTAGTGTATTAATGCTTGTAAGCTATTTTCCGGGCAAAACAGTTGGTTTTTTTTTTGCAATCTATTGCTTACTGATTTTTAGAGTTACCCATATATCGTATTACAAAAAAATAGGAAACGCAACCGCTCTATATTTCTATATCATACTACACCTGTACTCCTTTGCAGATCCCCACGCTACCCCCCGCATGTTAACTGACTGGCGGTGTGGAATTTCAAGATTCCCAATTATTCTTGAAAAAACGTGGCCATCCCACAGTTCCTTTTAAACTCACAAAGTCTTTGCCGTCTTTGTACTTACATTATTCCATCTTTGTATGTAAATACTTCCCATCCAAATCCATTTTAATTTCTTTTTAGGAGAGAGTATATTTGGGGTATATGGATTGATTCGGATGATCTACTTCCGCGATGTCGCCAATACAGTGTTTTGCAGGAAAAACAAATCGGTTTTATGAACATTTAGAAACGTTAAGAGACCGCAGTTTAAATAACTGTTTAAATAGACCCCATACCTACTGTCAAAGGATTCCTCTGCAATGGTTAGACTTCCAGCACGTTACTTTCGAGAAGTAACCCCTTGACAGGGAACACATTCGTACGTTAATTATATAAGACTATTTATCTCGACGCATTTTTTAAAGCGAATTTAGCATGGTTTAATAAGGGTTCAGTGCATCCAACCACACAGTCAAACAACGGTTCGCCTTTCAAATGTTGGCCTACATAACATCCCCAGACCGCTGAGGCTTGTAAGGGAAAGTCATCGCTGGCTCTTAACCATGCCCCCTGACTTCATAGCCAACGAGGTTGGGAGGTTTAGCTGTTTTACATACAGCAGCAAATAGATAATTATAGAAATACGGTGATTGTATCTTTTAAAATTCTCTATAGACGTTTCACAAAACCCAATAGTGGCAACAATGGCTTTGGTGGGAGTTTTTCTGTAATACGAATTACTTTAAAACCAAGGTATTATACATTAAAAAAGACAGTACACTTATACCCTGATCAAATCCTGATCATTTACGTCTGGCAGGGATTGACCAAAGATTGCTGCTTCTACACAAGACTCTGTGAGAACATGAAATTGATGGAGTTCGACTGGGCATCCTGGATCTTGGCGTTAAAAAACACGAGCACAAAATGATCAATGTTTAGTCAGCTATCACAAATATACATTGTACAACTTCCGGTGACAATACACGTGTGCCTTGGATGAAGACGTCCATTATGAGCTTCAGTCGATGTTTGTGATGCCTACTTTTTGTTTCAACTTCTCAAGTGACGGTGTTTTAAGTGCTGTAACCTAGCTTGCCTCTTTATTATGCTTCTAAAATACTGGCGACGTGAATCCACCCACTTTGTGTTAATAGATGTGATAGTAAGCGGTTCGATGTGATTGAAGGATGCAGGCAAGTGCGTAAATATTTATTGAATTAAACGGAATAAGAACAATGCGGTATCAAATGTAATTAGCACACAAGAACTGAGATGTTGTTTTCCTTATGATATTGTATTCTTTTATATAATGAAGGGTAAAAGCACCGAAGACCTTGTTTTAGCAATTGTGCAGCAATTAATGCAATATACTCGCTAATCCAGTTAGTCACTTGTGATCTTAATAAATACATTTTTGCTGGAAGAATCACATGAATCATTAGACTAAAGAATATGAAGCAACCTTTTATGACATGTCACAGTTCTCAAACGGTAAATGATATACGTTCTTCATAACAAGGTCGTTCTCGGCAAGAAAAGGGAGTTGCAGAAGGCCATGGCTTTTGGAAAAGGCTCAGATCGACATATTATGGTTATTGGGAGCTGCACAATGTAGCGCATTTTCTGCTTTCGAAAGGCGCCAGCTTTTGTCACACTGTAAACAAAACAATGGTATGAACAGATTCACGCAAGAAACTGAGAAGCAATATGTTGCCACATAAGCTACTGTCATTTTTAAATTACATTAACAGTGAAACTCAGGGGCCTACAGTACATCCGCCTCGCTGTCAGTCCCATTCATGTCAAGCTCCTCATGCTATGATTTCAGGTAAACATTAATGAACATGGGCTCAGGTAGTAGAGGTACAGGACTGTAGCTGCATTAGTTAGGAGACGAGAACCTTGCTAAAGAGTACACCTTCTTACCTACAGTGACATTTAAACCAAACGTTTTGCCCTCCATACCTGGACAGTGTTGAACGGGAGGGACTATAATATTGTTTTCAAAGATTAGCCCGCCTCTTGTAAAAAAAAAAAAAAACCTTATCTACCTAGTGAGATACAGTAGACTGTGATATTTGATTTTCTAAATGTTTTCTGAAATATTTTATAATGTATTTTTTTGCTGCATGAAGTGATTACACAGACGAATTAATGTGCTATAGCTCGCAGTGGAAACCAAACTTCTGGTTAATCTTAAAAGTTTCTTCTTTATCTCAAAGCGAGCTCTGAAAAATTCTAGTTAAGCAAATCAAGAATCTAGTTTGCTCCACGACTTTTTCTATCCTTCACTCTGTATGATAAATAGAAGGATGGCTTTTACAAGGAGAGCTTTATAAATTCATTAAAATCCATGCGTATTAGTTTACAAGAAAACGATTCACTAACATATCGTGTTTGTATTTTGCCATAAAGATAAATGTTGCTCAGAGAAACTATATTCAGACAATGATTTCAAAACAATCACGAAAGGAGACTGAAGTTGTATAATTTACCTAAAGCTCGAAAGTACACGTCACTTGTGTTCGCGTCGTGAACGGAGCTATTTTAAAATTATAGACTTGAATGCTTACTATTGTACTATGGTACTATTGTAAATGCACCATTTAGAAAGCAAAATTTACGATGGTATGGTTTTATTTTATATGTATTGTATTGATACGATTATATAGGAATATAGGAATGATATATTCCTGAAATATTTCATGAATTTTTCAGACTAAAGTTCTTAAACAGTATCAATGCTATCCTGTGTACTACTTCCAAGCCTACTTTTTAACTTCATTTTTTGTTGGTTCGTGTAAAATCCATCAAAAAGACATTTGTAAACTGTCATACGTTATAATAATATTCATCCGAGCTACCGCGCTAAAATGCTTTTCCCTTAAATCTTTTGTCCTGAACGAATATAAACTCCGTAATACTGCATTTCCTCATCCCTTTTGTTGTCAGTGCTATATATTTAAAAGCTAATTTTATGTTGTTTTTGTAAACTGTTAGTCTTAGCGGTGATATATTTAGAGACCCTGGTTTTAAATTTGGTCGTGGAGCAAAACGACGCTGTATTTTTGTTGTTTGTATTTAGTTCTTATAAAATTCACAAGATAAACATGACGAAAGCGAAATTTAATAACTCGTCGAGAACCTCCTGGATTTAAGAGATTATTCTGTGTCAAGAGTAAGATCATGTAAGATTTTACTTATGATCTTATTCTAATAAGTAGCAAAAACCCGAGCGATCCAAACTAAACTGTGCAATCATAACCAAACTGTCGCCATTGAGTTACAGAAAGCTTAACGTGTGAAGTATTTAGCAGCCATTAACAATTAAATATTATGAAAACCCCACAGGTGTATATATTATGTGAAACAAGAAATCTCCCTAACATTGTATTTAAATACATAGTCGCTTATTCTTATTTATAAATTAATTTCATTCACCAAAACGGAATAAAAGCATGCTATTAAGAAATCAAACGTCTATAAATGTTCAGCATAGACATACTCCTTGAGATGACTATTCCTGTCAATACGAGAAGACTGTCAAGAGAAAACATATCCCAAATGATGCATTGCTGAAGACGGATGTTATTGAAAAGCGCCTCTGTAAATAAGTTATTAAACGACCGATTACTTCACTATCCCCCTTTTAATTTACCTTTTTAGATCTTGAGAATCAGATACATATTCCGGTAACTTTAGCATGTCATACTGTTAATGTTTCTGTGAGGCTAATGTTCGTGAATTTTCAGACACGTTCACCCGCACACGTCGTACTTGAAATACCAGTTGGTACAATTGATAAATAGCACCTTTCTGTTCAGGTCAAAAAGATCCTCTTGATCATTTCATAATATTCTACGTCTTGTAACACTATAATGTTTTGTAGCAGCCATTCACCTGTTCCAGTCTTAAGCATTTATATGTTTATGCTTTGCTGTAAATATGTTAAAATCCCTGAAAAGTATAGACAACATACTTACAAGTTAGGATCTCTATCCTTATTTCTCTCTCCTCTCTGGATTTGATACCTTGAGCTAATTTGGAAGTGCCCCCCTCTGTTGGAACAAAATGATGCTTAAGACGCATAAATTAGGTTGTTATACAATGGAAGAGAACCTTCATTGTACCTCTTTGACTACGCTCTGTGGCGCTTATGCCTGGTCAAAGTGCTCTCTAAGTTTATAGAAAGTATGGCATTCACCATTTAAAACAGGGCAATAGTCCCGCTGACCCCCCAAAAAAACTGCTCAACAGCCTCGTAATGTAAGTCTCAAGGAATAAGAGGTTATGTCTAATATCAAACAGAATTCCAGCGTTAAATCTTTTTAATTGATGGTGAATAAGATTGAAGGCTACCTTTAAACGGGGGAATCCGGTTAATCAAATATTTTTGTTGGCATCGTGCTTATCTTAATATGAAACTAACTACATTTTCCTCAATTATCTTGGTAAGATGTCAATGACTATTGTTTGCTCGTTTAGGACGTTTGCTCCGCCCCCCGTGTTTGTCGTAAACCTGGCGCCTGGCTACAATAAACCCGAGATAAGAGCGCCCAGGGCTCGCCTCCTTCTCCAAGGCGATCAATCGGATCTCAGGCGGACTACAAGCAATCTCTTACGTAGACATTCACAAGGAGAGAGCTAACACAACAACACGGCTGATCCCGCTCAACAAATTTACCTGGTTGCTGAACCATGTCGTTGAGCCCAAAGCACACAACGCCTTTTTCAGTGACAGATATTTTGAGTCCTATCGAGGAGACCTACAAGAAGTTTAGTGGCATGGATAGCACAGGAAACCTCACTTCTCCTTTGGGAACTTACCGCCAGCCTCAGGTTTCCCAGCCTGGCATGCAGCAGCACTCCATGGGCCACAACGCCACTGTCGCGACAACCTACCACATGCCCCACAGTGTGTCCCAGTTCTCTCACGGTGCCATGGGAGGCTACTGCAATGGGGGCATTGGCAACATGGGGGACCTCCCTTCGTACCAAGAGACCATGAGAAATAGCGCAGCGGCAACTGGATGGTACGGAGCAAACCCCGACCCCAGATACTCAACAAGTAAGTTTCCAACTATCATTCCACAATCGCGCTGTATTTTAAACCGTATGATAATAATAATAATAATAATAATAATAATAATAATAATAATAATAATAATAATAA